ACCGAACCGATTCGAGTCACCAACCTCGCCCGCCTGTCCGACGGCCGATAATCGGGTTGGTGTGCAGAGGCCTTTAGTCGCCAAGAATTTTCCAGAGGTTTTCTATTGGGTTTAGATCAGGACTCAGGGCTTTCATCATTTCAATGTTTTCAGTATCAAGGAAGTGCTTTACCCGTTTTGCTGTGTGACGGGGGGCATTGTCCTGCATGAAAATCGTGGCTGATTGGGTGATGAATGCAGGGAAGGAGCCACATGTTGTGGAAGAAGGTAATTTGTATTCACTCTGCCATGTAGCTGTATATGAGGCCCAACTCCTGCTGCAGAAAACATTCCCCAAACCATGACACTTCCTCCTCTACCTTTCACGGACTTCTTTATACACTTTGGGTTCAGTCTTTCCCCAGTTTGACGACGAACATATTGTTTCCCATTGGACCCAAATAAATTAAACTTGCTTTTATCACTAAAGTGAACTTTGGACCAGTTCTCTTCTGTCCACACAAAATGCTCCTCAGCATAGTTTGTCTAGCCTTTTGATTCTTTCTGCCAATGAGAGGTTTGGTCACTGCAGAGTGGACTTTCAGTCCAAATGCTCTTAAACTTCGAGACACTGTATGATGAAACAGATCCTTACCCTGAACAGTGCTGAAATGGTGAGCAATTCCAGCTGCAGCGTTGAACCAATTGCTCACTGAGATTCTCTGCATTATCCTGTCCTCTCTTGCATTTGTCTTTCATGGTTGACCAGCCTCCTTGGGGGACTTGAATGATTTTGTGACGTTGTAAAGATGCAATATTCTAGAAGTCACAGATTTGGAACGACCAGCTTCTCTTGCTATGACTGATAGGGTCATCCCTTTGGCCTTCATCTGGACAACCTGCTCCCAAAGGGTTTTAGTCACTTTAGAACGGCTCACCATCTTGCAAAGTCAGTAAAAACTGGAAAATTAGGCTGCAAGTTAAACAGGGTTTGTCAGATAATAAAAGGAAATTAGCACCAGGTGTCAAATTAACACCAATAACTGGAGGTATCTGAAAGTGTTCTCTAATTTTGATTTTTCTTTTTCAAATATCTCATTTAAGATGTTTATACTGTGCTTCAAAGCATATGTAACTCATGAAATATGCATAAAAAAATACAGCTCTTTTACTCCTGTTCGGATCATTTTAAATAGGACTTTGCAGTGACCTTGACATTTAGGAAATTGTAAGTTGTTCTCTAATTTTGATCTCCAGTGTATGTATATATAAAGTATGTATGACATTTATAAAACAAGAAATATACATAATACAGACAGAATTGTATAAAAAGTTCCTAAAAAGTCATCTCTGATCATCCAAATCTCACAAACACACACAAACTTCCGGCTGTTATTGTGTTCACTGTTTGGGTTCATTGTACAGTTTATCAGCTGTTCTACTGTTATTGTTGAAAATAATATAAAATGTGATAAAAACAGATCTCTTAAGGAAAAGTTTGGGAAGCACTGTTACAGAAGACTGGACAATTGTTGTGAGTGCCCTTCTCTCTGTTTGTTTTTCAGCTAGCACACAGTTTCATTCTCATATCACTGCTGGTCTCTCACACCATTAGTCTGATCCTGAGTTAGTACGTTTTTACGTAGTGATTTATATAGTATGAGTCTCTTTTAAAGAAAAAGCTATTAATCATGTTGTGAAAGCGTAATGATGTTCAACTGGAGACCACAGCAGACCAAGCTTTTCATTTACTGCTGCATGGCTGGACACAGACATTAATTGCTGTGAACCATTTAAACACATCATTTTTGTATTCCACAATTACACACAGCCATGAGAACCTGTTATTGATGCATTTAACTTGCAGAGTCGATGTTTGGTTTGCTCATGCAGCAATTCTCAACAAAAGGCTAAAAATTCCAAACTTGTTAAGAGTATTTTATTTGAACTAACTTTGAAGAGGGACAGTTAAAATATACTTAAGGTAATTTCTATGACTGTTATAGCACCCAGTCCAAACTCTTTCCATCACTAGACGTTTCACTTCTCCATCTTTTCATCTGATTCTGTCCTGTCCTGTTCTGTACAGCACCTATCCAGCACACACAGAAAAGCCAGCTGCTGGAGTGCTCCTGCTTCAAGCGTGCGTGTGTGTGTGTGTCCTAACCCGTGTCGTTGTGCAGGCTGAGACTTCCTTCCTTTCCATGAATAGACCGATAACTTCAGTGCGAGCTGCCACTCCAGCCATTAAAAGGCTGGATTACTGCAACTCTTTATTATCAGGTTGGCCCTAATAAGTCCATTAAGACGCTCCAATTAAAACGCTGCAGCACGAGTACTGACAGGAACTAGGAAAAAGATCACGTCTCCTGTTCTAGCTTCTCTGCACTGGCTCCCTGTAAAATTCAGAAATAGAAAGTATCAAAATATCATACTATGGAGTTTGCTCTAAACTGAATGAAGCTTCTGAAGGTTTGTTGCATAATATCTCATTTTACATTGTTAATCAGAGCTGTGTGATACAACCAAAACCTCATATCCTGTTAACATATACAGTAAGTACAGTAAAACCTTTGTGAGTAAAGTTTATCTTCTCCGTTTAACGTTTCACATGCACAGCATGCTAGCTCGCTAATAGCGTTGCAGTTGTTAAAAAAGCTATGCAAAATCTCAAAAGTCTTTAGCTTGGGTTGCCAAAATTAGTGAAAGTCATGTCAACTGAGTTTACCCCCCTGGATCTATACAGTGACTTTGCTGACATTAGCTACTGTTACATTTAGCTATGTTTATGTGTTTATTTATTGTAAAGCATATTGTCATCCAAATATTGAACAGTGCTATTGATATTTTCCTCCTGAAGTACTCCAAACACTGCCAACAGTGTGCAACACAGCCAACTGTTAGCTTATAAATGGAGCCCACTAAATCAACAGACGTCCGACACCC